GCCCACTTCTTCTATGCATCCGAAGAAGTGGGCTGTAGTCCACGAAAGCTTATGCTCTAATAAATTTGTTAGTCTCTAAGCTTTTATCTCGTATATTTTACTTAAATAGGTATGCTGTAGATTTTAATTGAAAAAACCCATATTTAGGGATACAAGAAAGAGAACTGGTAGGCACAGTTGAACAAAGATGAATACAAGGTTTCTGGCTAGGATTCTAACATTGATCTTTAAATAATCCTCATTCTTGCCTTTTCTCTCCTCTCTCTTTCCTTTGCCCCCCTCCTGGCCATTCACATTAAGACATTAATTTGTGTCATATTTGACAGTTGCATGTTTTTGTTTGAAGGCGTGAGTGAAATGAGTGCTTTAATAGAAACACTTTCAATAGGGTAGTTTTGGTCAGATGAAGAATTTTGGTTTATTACGGTTTTATAAGGTTGTTTGATGAAATTACAGTTGTCAATGTTTGAAAACTTTTCCAGGGGCAAGTCCCCAAGTAAGCTGGGAGTCTGGAAGCTGCCGGGCCTTCATCTGCCACAGAGTTGTATAGACATTCTGGTGAATTTTAGTTTTTTAAAATAGATTATTATCAGGAGTTCAAAACTTAAACTCTGTTTTGTGATATGTATTTTTTCCAGTAATACTGAAAACCTTAAAAGGTTTGAGCTCACTGTAGCAAGCCTTGATGGTGGGAGGTTGGCATTGCAGAAAACACGTTGCAAGTGCCACAGTTGTGACTGCAAGCTCCTGGGACTTGTTTGCAAAACATAACAGTCCCATCCCTCCTGCGCCATCCCACTGCAGCCTCAGAGGTGGGAGGGATAGTCTGGGCCAGCAGGAAGAAAAGCTCCCCCTTCTCCACCCCCACTTGGGATTAATGTAGGACCAGTTTTTTTGGACCTTGTTATGGGCATAATACTGGTTGCCTTTTTGAGGCTGGGGAAAAAATTCCCTCCAATTGGCCTACGCAATGTTTGTGTTTGTTTGTCACTTTCCTCTCCAAGCCCAGGGACCTTGTGTGTAGATTAGGTTGCAAAATTAATTTTGTTGCAGTTTGCAGGCGTTCAGTTCAGGTTATCGTTCAGTGGGGGTCTAATTTCCTGATGAACTGGAATTGGAAACGGATTAGGAGACGGCATCTCCTAGAGAAGGTGGGAAATGGGGATGGGGCTCCTAATGACTGATAAATCAAGGAGACAATGCCTTCTTTCCTACCAGCTTAACCCTCTGATGGGGAAAGGGGGCGGGTGAAGGAGTCCCAGCAGCATTGCTGGGATCAGGTTAATGGGGTGGGGACACAGACAGCAGCTCTCCACCAGGTGCTATAGATTACAAAGGAAGGATGACCTGGACTGGATGAGTTATTACCAGATAGATCCCAGATGCATTACTTAATAAAGTTTGTGGTCTAGTTAAATCCCATTACTTGTATTTTTTCCAACAGTGTTGCTACTGTATGTGTAATACTAATACTGTAGGTTTTCCCATGATGGAATAGTAGTAAATATTTTGTGGGGTGAGGGTTTTATAATACTACTTTCATTCTGGGGCAGTGGTTCTCAAACTTTCCAGACTACTGTACCCCTTTCAGGAGTCTGATTTGTCTTGCTTACCCCAAGTTTCACCTCACTTAAAAACTACTTGCTTACAAAATCAGACATAAAAATACAAAGTGTCACAGCCACACTGTTACTGAAAAATTACTTAATTTCTCATTTTTACCGTATAATTATAAAATAAAACAATTGGAATATAAATATTGTACTTACATTTCAGTGTGTAGTATATAGAGCAGTATAAACAAGTCGTCGTATGAAATTTTAGTTTCTACTGCCTTTGCTAGTGTTTTTTATGTAGCCTGTTGTAAAACTAGGCAAACATCTAGATGGATTAATGTACCCCCTGAAAGACCTCTGAGTACCCTCTCGGGTACGTGAACCACTGGTCTGGGGAGTAGACAAGTGAATGATAAAGCCACCATTTTCAGCTGACATGAGTTTTATGCGCTGTTTTACCTTCTCCTGCAGTAAATGGATAGATTGAGGCTTTTATGTTGGAGGGGAAAAACAGGGTATTGTTTTATGATTGTATATAATTTCTAGTTGGTTACTGTGTTTATGCATTGTTGACTTGTGGATGGTATGTCTCTCTTATATTTTATTTTAAGTTGTTACCTCGCTGAACAGTGATTTCTCATGACACCACAGTAGCGTGAAAATCTAGTTGAGGAGATTAAGAAAGAATTTACAAATGCTGAATTAACCATCCCAAATTCAGATAATTAAAATGTAAACAATAATTATTTTGACACACAGCTCTTTGAATAACTTGACACATGAGCATGTGTCCTATCTTAGTAGCAAAGGCATGTTTCAGATATGTGCTGAAAATGCTGTTCTTAAAGTATGTGTACTCCCTACAGTGCTTTCTTTTATAAATAATTTTTAAAAAATAATTTCTGTAAAATTTCTTTGACTCATATATTCCATCACATCCACCATCTTGTGTTTTCTTCTCTGTCAATGTGGTTTGAAGCTTTAACACTTCTCATAATTTTAAATTCCTGGTAAGAGCAGTCCATATTTTGAAAATAAAATTTAATTTAATTCTTAAAATATGGGGTATCCACATGTGATATGGCAGCCTACATGGGCTACAATTTTCTTTTATTAATTTGATTACTGGTAAATAACTATATTGTGTGATAGACCAATCCATATGATTAAATGTTTTGGAATTGCGTCAAAATTCTGGACACAATGGAGTTGTTTGATCAGCAGTCATTCATTAATACTGACAAATACTCAGGTCTGTTTTAACTTTATTTGTGGATTCCAGTTCATAGTAAATAAGACATTCTAGGCAGTGCATATCTTGGGGATTATTGCTTTCCTCCATTGATTATAGTTTCTTGGGTTTAGGCCTCTAACTTTATACTGCAACACCATCCCAGGCATAAATGTACTGTGTAACACGTTATTGCTTAATCTAAATTAGGATGGAAATTGATTGTCAGTTTAATGTATTCCCTCAATATATATGACATTGTCTTTCAGTAAAATGTCTGCCTGCAGCAGCAGGATTTTAAATACCAGTTACATTTATATATTTTATTTTTGAATACTTTTATATGTGATAAAAAGTTCTGCTCACTATTTAAACACTCAGAGCATTGTCTTCATTTTGCATGGTGCAATTTCCTTGTTTTTGTAAGCTTAAATTGGACTCTTGACAAACATTTTCGTTCCGTTTCCTTTTTAATGCCATGGATCATAAACAGACAAGCAGTAACAGAAGAGCAATGTAACATCTTTCAAGTATGATAGGCTCTACTTCAGCAGAGCACTTACGTATACATGCTTAAATTCAGCCCTATTCAGCAAAGCACTTAAGCGTGTTCTTAAATCCCATTAACAACGGAATTTAAGCAAGTAATCTTGTCCCAGATTATAAATTCAGACTATTTATCCTTGTTTAACAATTTGCTGGTTTAAATTAGTCTAATTAGGTGAAATCCAATCTCTGTTGAAATCAATGGGAGTTAGTGGGACTAGATGTTATTCCTGGAGCATGATACAAGAAGTCTTAAAGTGCAGGATGGAAAATTTACAATTGTTTCTAGAGGGTGTCTCTAGTTTAGTTTATTAATAATCTAGATTACCACAGTAAATACATTACTGTAGAACAGGGGTCGGCAACGTTTGGCACGCGGCTCGCCAGGGTAAGCACCCTGGCG